ACTAAAATTGCGGCTAGCTGCAAGAAATTTTAGGTTTGGAACTATAGCCGGCAAGTGCAATAAAAGTTGCCGGCAACTCGAAAACTGATAAAATGAACGAAATATTGCGTGCAAGAAAGTTGCGGGCGGTAAAATTGCCGACTGTAAAACGCCCTTTACCAACACCTCCTGAATTGAAACCAATCAAACATCTCCTATCCCCTGTATAAAAATTGTCCTAAGCAGATAGAAAATGACAGAACATAATTAAATAAAACCCAAAGAAGAACTCCAATTCTGCCAGCCAAGACTGAGAAAATAAAATCCTCGGACATTCAAAGAACGTTCTAAACGCGTTCTCGGCCAGCTTTGCAAAGATCCATTAAACGTTATCTATAAATCCAGTGTTTGGACCGTGTGATTGAGTGCTCCAGTTGGATGCTCTTTGTGAAACAGAGGTTGAAAGTTGCAGAATTTCCAAGAAGAAAATCTGCTCCCCCACTGGGAAAAGCCAGCCGTAAAACTGAACCGATGATTGAAAAAAATTAAATTGAAACATTTGAAGCGTGCATAATTTACGCAAAAATCGAAATAAATCACATACATATACGCATATAATAAAATCAAAACCTGAATGCACGTGACAATATTCATATGCTGAACATAATGAATCGAAGAGGAAAAAAATGACAAACAAAAACCATTGATTGATCGTACGACTTACACAACATTTTCGTATATAATTAGCGGCAGTAAGTTTAGGTTTCAATGAGCGGGTCGAAAGCAATTAAATCCTTATTGGCCGAATAATGACCGCGACGTGATCTGATTGACGCACAATTTTTCTATAATAACAATCAAGTTAGTGGTTATTAGTCCTTTAAACAAATTCGAATCTGTTTATAAATGTGCCTACTCAACAGCCCGATCCGGAAATAATTTCAATGGTAATCGGATTTTTCCGTGTGGGTGTTTGTTTTTTGAAAATTTCCTTGAGGACCTAAGCGTTCTAAAGTCATCGGAAAATGGGCAGGTAAATGGGATTTCCAACAGAATCCTAAAAGGCTTTTTTCGATTTGTCCCTTTCAGGACTGGAGGTGAAGAAGATCTCATCGCCTGACCGTTCAAAGCATTGAGGTGCGAACTCCGAGCTTAAAGGTTTTAAGTAAAGGGCACAAATCGATGTGAAGTTCTGCGAAGCTCAAAAGTTAATTAACCAATTCCGTGTTGTTTTTTTTTCAACCCATTTCCCTGCTAAGTGTCCACGAGAACATTAAGACATTTAATAATGGAACAATTCAGCCGCAAGGGCAAACTATTCATTGTCGCTTTGGTCACGAATTTTGTGAAACTCTTTGCGTGCAAGTTGGGTTTACAATTGAAAAAATTCCCTCCTGAAAAGCTTTTAAACGGCCCTCATCAGTGGCGAAGAAAAAAAACTGATGCAAATTTACGCTTTGTAGAGCAGAGAAAATCCAGGTAGATATTTCCAGGCATCCAGGCGTGCAATGTGCCATCGGCGGTAAATAAATGTATGAATAAATGGCTTGATCGTGGGGGAAAAAATCGAGAAACTGTACGTGAGAAGCAACACGTTTTGTTCATTTGTGCGAAGTCGCTAAGCAAAACAGAGGAGAATTTAGGACCTTCATTTCAACAGTTGTAAAACTAGGAAATCTAGCTAAATTGCTGAGTGAGCGGCGGCCAGCGGCAAACGTGCGGGCTTTAAAAGGATTGAACTTGAGAAAATACCACCGCAATTTATACAGTAAAAAACTCAAATGGAAATCCTTCAAAGTACAACTTGTTGATGTTTGCTTTAGAAAAGGTTTTAGAGATCCGGTTTAATTTTGCAATTTTCCATTTAGCGTGAAAACCATCAATTGTTCCAATATAGTGTTTGGAATAATAAGTGCGCAATTTAACGCTATATCTCTCATTGACCTATAGAGCTTTGTAGCTCAAGAGTCTCTAAATATGAGCTAAAGCCTAAGAGCGATTTAGAAAATTCTAATTAATCTTGGACGTTTGAATTCTGCGTAAAATCCAGAAGTATTCCTAAAATAGTGTTAGGTGTAAAAAAGCGCCCGTTTTAACGATCAAAGCTCAATCTGTTCTCTAACTATGAGCTAAGGCATAAGAGCGGTTTCTAAAATGTCAAGTAATCTGAAATTTTTGCCGTTTGCTGTAAAACTAAAAACATTCCGAAAATAGGGTTTGGTAAAAAAAAAGTGCGCTATTTAACGCTCTATCTAGCCATGGCCCATAGAGCTTTACAGCTCAACCAGTTCTCTAAATATGAACCAAAGCCTAAGAGCGGTTTAAACAATTCAAAGTAATCTTGAATTTTTGCATTTTGCGTATAAACGAGAAACATTCCCAAAATAGTGCTTGGTATGGAAAACTTAGAAATTTAAAGCTCTACCCGGCAATAGCAAATAGAGCTTCACAGCTCAACCGGTTCTCTAAATATGACCTCAAGCATAAGAGCGGTTTCCAAAACGTCAAGTAATCTCGAATTTTTGCATTTTGCGTGAAAACTAAAAACATTTTCAAAATAGTGCTTGATACAAAAAAAGTGCGACATTTGACGCTCTATTCGGGAATGGGCCACATAGCTTTGCAGCTCAACCGCTTCTCTAAATATGAGTCAAAGCCTAAGAGCGGTTTAAAAATTCAAAGTAATCTTTAATTTTTGCAGTTTGCGGGAAAACTAGAAATATTTACAAAGTAGTGTTTAATATAAACAAAAATGTGCAATTTAACGCTCTATCCGGCAATGGCCCCTAGAGCTTTGCGACTCAACCATTTCTCTAATATCAGCCAAAGCCTAAGAGCGGTTTTAAAAGTTCAAATTAATTTTGAATTTTTGCATTTGGTGTGAAAACGAGAAACATTCCCAAAATAGTGTTGGTACAAAAAAAGTGAGCAATTTAACGCTCTATCCAGCACTGGCGCCTAGAGCTTTACCGCTTAAGAATTTATCTAAATATGAGCCTATGAGCAGTTTTAAAAATCCGCATGATCTGAAAATCACTAATACGAGTCATTTGGCACAAAATATTTGCTGAAATGTTTAAATGTGGAAATAAGGCACTGAATCTAAATCGTTTGACCAGGATCACACGCAGCACTTAAGGCGCTGTTCGTCAACAGCAAATTAATGCTAAACTTACCAGTTCTCAAAAAACACACACTACACTTGAACGCACAATGAATATCCACAAGAAAAAATATTCAGCTTTTCGAAAAAACTCATGCGATTTTAAGGTGTTTATCACATTTAAAACGCACCGAGCTACAGAACTTACATAATGATACTTCCACAAATTGCTTTCCTGTTGTTCAGATCCGACTTTTGCTCTAATTTAACCCTCTATCAGGGTTGACAGCTGAACCGGTTCTCTAAATATCAGCCACAGACAAACAGCTGTATTTAAGACACGCTTTAACTTTGCATTTTCGTCTTTTCGGTGAAACCTAGACCCATTTAGTAGCTTATCAATTTACAGAGTATAAAAAAGTATATCGAGTATATATAAAACAATAAAAAAGACATATCGCTAGCAGCTTTACGATGTTTTGTCGTCGCAAATAGCTGAAATTGCCAGCCAGAGGGCATAAAATCAGCATGTATGTTTCATAAAATATTAAATACACCATCAATTCGTCGAAGTTTCATGGAAAACCAACAGTAACCGTCAATATTAAGGCTGAATTGATAATGTGATTCGAAAACTTTAAGCTTTTATTGCCTAAAAGTAGACACACTCGCGCTTGGAAAAGGGCCAGATAGAATTCATTTAACTCTCGGCCCCTCGAAGCCAATGGATTAGATCAAAGCGGACCATCCTTTCGAAAGGTTGAACATGAAATTTTATTCCCCTGGAAGGTTCGCGATTCACTATTTACTCTTTGGGGCATTAGAGAAAAACACCTTAATCTTAGTCCGGGTTTTTTTTCATAATTTACTAGCGTATGATACACCTTTCGGGTTCTTAACACTCTGCGCCACTTTTGGGTGGGATTTTAAAGCAGCAAATCTTAGAAAATTTTGACATTTTCAAGCGATAAGCGGGTCAGCTGCGGGCGAAAGTAGGCCAAACTTCCAAGTCGATGCGAAGGAGCTCGAATGCTCAGAAAATGTTATTAAAGCCAAGATTTATTGTGCCATTTATATGAGTATTTGACCTCACCCGGTAGCAAATTTTCACTTATACGGGCGAAATGAGGGTGTTTGAAAATTTGCCAAAAATCGACCCGGTTGTAGAATGGGATATATAATTTATGCTTAGTTATAGAGACAAACGTGCTCTTTCTATCATTATATCCAGCGAATTTCCAGCTCACTTTGGTGCGCGGCAATTAATGAAAGAAATCCACTATAGAAAAGAAGCGAAATAGAGGGTTTGAAAATTCGCCAACAATCAATCGAGCCTAGAGCTCCCGTGCATTTAGGCCCATTTATATAGAAAAGTGTGCTCTTTCTAGCACACTTCCAAGCGCCTTTCCAGCTCACTCCAAAGCGCGGCATTAAATTAAAGAAACCCCGTCTGTAAAAAGAAACAAGATGAGGCCAATAATCACCCCATCTTTGTAGACTAATTAATTTTTTGCACGTTTTTGTGAGGAATGTGTTCTTCCAACGCTACCGCCGCTTAATCTCTATCTCACTTCGTTCTGCGGCCATCAATTGGAGAATTCCACACTAGAAAAGGAGGCAGGCTGCGCTCTTGGGAAAATTTGCCAAAAATCGACACAGTCATGGAAAGACCGGAATTCTAATTGATTTTGTAAAGAAGCGCGGTCTCTTTCTAACACAGTTTCGAATGACGCACTGTCTGCCTCACTCTGTTACTCAATTCAATCGAAATTAAACAAGATGCAAGTATTTGAAAATCTGTCAAAATTCACCAGCCTTGAATGGTATGGAGTTTTGCGCATTTGCAGAGGACGGTGTGATCTTTCTCACACACTTTTAACTGACTTTGCATCCCACTCCTTTACATCACAATTAGTGAAATAAGAACAGCGCTGTACAAACAGAAGAGAGATGCGGGAGTGTGAAAAATCGCCAAAAATCAACACAATTTGGCGACCAATAAATTGTTTGCTTGTTTATTGCAAAAAGTGCGTGTTATTCAACGCCACCACCGACGAACCTCTATCTCACTCCGCTCTGCGGCAATTAATTGAAAAACTTGCACTAGAAAGAGGCAAAATCGTACGTTTGACAATTTGCCAAAAACCAACGGCAGCAATGGAAAGACCTGAATTCACATTGGTTTTCTAAACAAAAGCGCTCTCTTTCTAACACAGTTTCTAACGACGCAGGGTCTCACTCCATCACGTGGGATATAATCAAAGAAAGCCACGCTTGTGCAAAACGTGAACAATCAACTCGACATTGGGACAAAATGATTTCAAAAATAATTATAGGGAAAAAGTCGAGATGAGGGCATTTAAAAATTAAAACCTCAACCAGGAGGAACGGGAACTTTTCCTCCAAGTTTTTCCAAAAATTTCGGCCTAAAAAACTGAATTCTTGACAATTTTTGGAAAACTTTCAGTGACGAATTTGGAAAAATCATCATTGAAAACCTTTGGCGAAAACCCATTTTTTATGCAAAATAAAATTTTCGAAAAAAAAATTGAAACGTTAATTTTGAGTTAAACCTTCAAGTAATATAGAGGGAAAATACGAGAATTAACGCGCTCGAAAGTTTCCAGCTTTCATTTTCTCTGAATAACTCGGCGATTAACGAAACTATCTAAACAGTTTTAGTATCAAAATGAAGCTATTTTAATGCTCTTTAGAACGGGCTATAAAGAAGCAGTATAAATTTGAAATGATGCGACAAAAACTGATAAAATCCCGGCCATAGTCCTCAATCCTGTTGAAAACGTGATGAGAACATGGCCTGAAGAACGTTTGATAATTTCAAACAGATTAAGATTTCTCCCGTTTAAAAAATACGTCCACTCAAGGAAATCATTTTCCGGTTTGCCTTTGTCAAGGTTTTTAATCATATTCCGTTAATGGAAAAAATGGCCCGTTTTTAAGCGGCAAAGGAATTCGAAATAGAATTAATTAACGCGATAAACCAGGCTAAGGGGCACTGAGCTTTTTAACTGGAGTTTGCCAAATAAACTTTCATTATTATAATGGCCTTTCTTAGAGGAATCTCAGTAGATGATTTCCATAAAAAAAATAAATTCAGTCTGTCGTTGAACAGTGCTCAAGATTTGAATTGACTTCGGCATACACAAACTTTTGCCAATTCCCGGTTTCTGAATGAGCAAATTGCGAATCTCTGAACGAAATTCGGAAGCGTGCATGAATATGTAAAACATTTATTAAGGCGATATGGGGCAGGAAAATGACGAAAACTGGCAAATGTGTTTTTTTTTTCAGACCAATGAACCATGTACGGGTTAATCATAGAAAACATGACCGAATACATCAAAGCCACGTACGGCGAAGACAAATGGGAGGAAATTCGACGGGCAGCCGGAGTCGACCAACCCAGTTTCAGCACTCACCAGGTTTACCCAGAAGGACTTATTCCCAGACTGTCGAAAAAGGCCGTACAGGTAAAAGTCAAATTCAATGTTTTCACACCAGTCAAGTGCTCACATTAATTCCCAACTACTTTAGCACGTAAATAAATGATGTGCAGTGACTTACAACAGAAGGACGAGTGGCACGAATCCTGCTAATTAAAGCCAGCAGGATTTCAGCTGTTTGCAATCGCTGCTGATTTTCCCTCACACGCACATGAATAATACATTCGAAGAGCAACTCAAACTGCAAATGCCTCAAAAGTGTAAAGTGAACAAATCAAACAAATGAGAAATTGAGAAAACTAAACGTTTCTGGAGGCAAAGCATCCCATATCTCAAAGGAGTAAACGTTTTCCTTTAAACGAAAAAGTATCTTGCCAATGAGGTTTTATTTAAAGAAAAAATATAAAATCTTCCAAATTTTAACTCTTTTATGTCGGAAACGGTCAAAAATATCTAGTGAATGATCATATGTAGTTAAATAAAGCGTTTCGACAGCCACCTTCGGCTTCAAATGTCGAAATAACATATCAACTTCAAAAGAGATTTACACGAAAAATTTTGATCTACGCACATTTCCCTTTGTATCTCGGAAACCGTTAAAACTACCCAATTAGTCATTAGAACCTTTTCAAAAGAGCATTTTGCGAGCTACATAGGGACATACAAATAATAGGAATATTAGTAGGGCTTCGCCCCTTTCCAAACGCCTGAATGTTTATACACTTCATATCTCCAAAACCGTTGAAATATTCCTATCACGCGAAATTACTCTTTTAAAAGCCGATTTTGATATCTGCCTTTTGAGCCATTGGATTGGAACGCCAAGTTCTAACCTCTAAAGGAATAGAAGCAAAAAGGGCAGACATTGGGAAACTTTTAAGGTTAAAACACCGTAAATCCGAGCAACGGGAAAAATTTGCATTGAGTCCTCCGGACTTTTCCAATAGTTTATCTTTTGCCCATGAGGTTTAATGTGAAATTTCTAACCTCCAAAGAGACAGATGCAAAAACATGAAATCCTCCAAATTTTATCAATCTTTTATGTCGGCAACTGTCAAAAATATAGAACGTTTCGCCAGCAGCATTCAGGTTTCAAACGTCGAAATAACATGTCAACTTCAAAAGAGATTTGCACGAAAACTTTTGAATCCACGCACATCGCCCTATGTATCTCGGAAACGGTTAAAACTACCTAAATAATCAGTAGAACAGTTTCAAAAGAGCATTTTCCGAGCTATATAGGGACATAAAAATATTAGGGATCTAGATAGGGCTTCGCCCCTTTTCAAGCGCCTGAAATTTTAAACACATTTCATATCTCCAAAACCGCTGAAATATTCCGATCACGCGCAATTACTCTTCTGAAAGCCGGTTTTGGCATCTGCCCTTTGAGCAATTAGATTTCAACTCCAAATCTTAACCTGTAAAAAGGAAGAAGCAATAAACTAAGCGTCTGTTTTTCACTAGCTTATATGTGGGAAACGAGGGAAATCTGCTGCTTCTGAAGCGCCATTTCGAAAAGCATCTGTTACCCATAAGGATGGATATAATAACATTTCCAACCCCAAAAGTTTAAGAGGCAAACGGCAAAATTTGATGAATTTTTCCTAATAACCGAAAACGACTGGAATTATCGGAATACCGCTTAGGACTTTCTGTATAGAGGATCTCAAAAGCTACGATTTGTCCAGTAAGTTCTGCAATAAATTCCTAACCTCTAAAAAAATATAGGCAAAACTTCCCAAATGCGTCCGGAAGCCAATAGGCCAAAATTACATCAAATTTCATGTTTATTCACCACACACGAGCGACTAGTACATACATCCAATATCTTTTGTAAGGCCGTTATCGCCTCTCGTTCTTTCTGTATTTCTTGCCGCAAACGTGCCTGCAGAAATTCTGCAGGCGGCTCGTAAATGGAGACGTTTCACCTGTTGCAACACATTTTCCATCCTTAAAACCGAATAAGACGGATGTTGTGGGGTTTCCGAACGAAACTAACCGGATATCGGGATAAAATATCGTTCCAAATGATGTGGATTCGGATACGGATTACGTCCGCTGAGAATCGCATTTGGCCAAAAAAAAACAAGCAAACTTCGACTTCAAGGGAAAATCCAACTAAAAAGCAGACAAATGGAAGGGTGGATTAGCTGCGAGTTTATCTACGCTAAATTGATCTCTATTTCAGATACTGAAAGTGAGCGAAAAGGAGTTCTTCGATCAGATGGGAGTGTTTTTCATCGGCTTCGTCAGCCAGTATGGTTACGATCGCGTGCTTTCGGTGTTGGGCAGGCACATGAGGGACTTTCTCAATGGACTTGACAATCTGCACGAATACCTCAAGTTCTCCTACCCACGAATGCGAGCGCCCAGCTTTATATGCGAAAATGAGACCAAACACGGTCTCACCCTGCATTACAGGAGCAAGAGAAGAGGCTTCGTCTATTACACCATGGGGCAAATCAGGGAGGTGAGTTTGATGTCCTGGTGGGTGCAAGGAAGATCAAAGCGGCGCTTGTTTGTTGACTCATTAACGGAAAATTACAGTGCGCTGCTAATTGCTCTTGTAAATTAATTAATTATATAATTAAAGAGACGCAATTCGCTTGCTCTGAATATCGGCGCTGATTTTCCTATCTGTACAGGCAAACCTAGTTAGGAACTGGCAGCTGCGAACAAAAGGCGAAGAGATTGATGCCCCATTTATGCGGAAAACCTGATTTGACTTACATTTTTCGGTGCTTGTTTCGGCTTGCAGAAAATGGGGCGCGCCTATTGCTAAATCACCCCGCATTTGCACAAAAATTCTGTCTGTTTTCAGGTCGCCCGCCATTTCTATCACAAGGAAATGAAAATTGAGCTGGTGAGAGAGGAGCTGCTCTTTGACATGGTGCACGTGACCTTTCAATTGACCTTCGACAATAGAGCCTTCACGTTGGCGTCGCTCACGATGACTCGCGAAGAGAAACATTTACCCATTAGTGCTTCGGTGCTGTTTGAGATTTTTCCGTTTTGTATCGTTTTCGGGTAAGTTGAAGCCACCAATCGAAATAGAAAAATGTCCTTACCACAGTTTGATTTTGTTCTGTAAAATCGCGATGGAAATTTAAGGAAAAATGGGGGTTTATGCTATAGTATGCACATAAAGCATAGTTTAAATATTCCATAACTTTTGCGTTTTTTGACAAGATAATTTTCGCGAGCAAAATGTGACCACTCATAAAAATTCCTATTTCTCGAACGGCTCAGGATAAACAGTCGATTCATGATCCAAATCACCTAGATGATATGAGGCTTTAGTATGGTATAGTTTTTTTTCTCTAGGCCGTAAAAAGTGTTAAACTTTGACCATGGAAACATGACTATATTACATATTTGAACACCCTATACAATACGTGTATTTCATTTTTCTTGCTTGCCTTAAAACCGGAATTTTGTACAATAATTTCGCTATGATTCAACAAAGTAATTATTCAAGTCGGATCACCAGCTGAGAAAATATTCATAGTGAAAAGTTAGGAAATATTTGATGCGCTAAATTTTGCGTTTGTGTTGTGATTGATACATTTTTCCAAAACTAAGCAAAATATCGGCTTTTACCAAGATACATTTTTCGCAGAAAAAATACCAGAGACTAAGAATTTGTAGCGGAAAATGCCAGGGTACGAAGCCCGAAAAGGTACTCGCAATTTAAAGGTTTTGGGGTTGCGCTGCCCCGCAGCACTCCACGGGTTGCATCCAAACTAAGCAATTATTCGGATTTTGCGACCCTCAAAATATCCCAAGTCTAAAATTTGGTGCCAATTTCACGATTACCTTCGAAGTTATTGGCAAAACATGACAAATTTTCACCTATATGGACATCCCTGTATATAAAAACCATCAACTTTGGTCTAAATCAAACTTGGCGCAAGACTTACCAAAAAACATAAAAAATTCTCCAAATTCCAGTAAAACATATACAGTTTCGGTCAAATTGTTTAATCGAACTTTTACTGCCGTTAATGCATCTTCGGCCAGTATTCATGCGAACACTGAGCTACACAGTGACCCAATTAAGCTTAATAGCAAAAAGCTGTTCCAATGAACCTAGTGACTTAACTCCAGACGGCAAAGAGCTTTAAAGCAACAGGGCGTGTATTCGGATCGAATGGCCCCGAAATTAGAATTTTTCTTGTGAAACTTCTTGTTAACAAATCTGGTCCCGTCAAATATGTAATTAACTAAACCGATTTTCGGTTGTTGGAAAATCGGTCAAAGGGATCGAGCAAAACCGCCATACTCGTGGCAGGATAGTTTATAATTGTTCTTTGAGGGAGGCTCTTTGTTTCCGATGTTTGCCCAAAATCCCCAACTACGGCCCGATTCACGTTGTTTGATTGAAGTTGAAAAAGCAATTTTCTTCTTTTCCAGCTCGGACATGGTGGTGCGAAGTATCGGAAACTCGCTTATGGTTATTATGCCCGATCTCTTGGGCAAGAAAATCACCAATTGGTTTGATCTCGTGCGGCCGCTGACTGCCTTTAAATTCAGTTCGGTAAATTGCTGCTAAAGTGAAGAACCGTCTTCAACCAACTAAACCGCTTTTGCTTCCCAGATTTTAAATAGAACCAATAATATCTTCGAACTGGTAACAGTCGAGCCCATTCTCAACGATAAACCCACCGACAGGCAAGAATTGGTTTTGAGCGACGAGCTGGACGCATTCAACGAAGAGAAAAATCTGCGACTAAAAGGTAAGTTTGCTGAAACCTGAATTTATCGGATTTCACCAATGGGGCAGAATTAATAGGCACGTGCGGCCCATATTAGGCACAGAAATGATTATGTTTGATGCAATAACAGACCTTGATTTCAATTTGATTCCGCAGCTTGAAAGCGAAACGAAATAAACCCCTTTCGATGGAAAGCCAACTATTGATTTTAAATAATACAAATTAATTCTTATTTGCGTCGGTAAAAGCGTCTTTTAGAGCCGGTCCAATTTGAGCTCGTTCAAAAAATCACTAGAGGTTTCAAAGCGAAATATCTCGAAAACGGTGAGAGATATCGACTTGGAACAAGTACACATTTTTTGTTACGGAAATATAGGAGAATGAGAAATTGTCAACAAAAAAGCGATGATTTAAAACGCAAAAAATTGCTACTATTACAGCTAAAATTTGGGTTTCTCATTCTAAAAAACCCAGAAGCCCAAAATTTTTTGCTAGCAGCACAACTTGGTTAAAAACCTATTAAAAACCGAAAATTTTGTTTACACTTTGACGCCCTGTGCCTCTGAAACTATTAACTAACTTTAGGATCAGACAAATTTGCCCAAAACGCCTTATTTTGAAGCGAATTTTGTCACATTTGTTAAGAACCACCCTGTATACTATGAACTATTGAACCCATTTGTATAGGAAATATCTAGATCAGATCTAGTTTTTCCCAATCCATCGCCTTCGACCCAAGAAACCTCCCCCAAATCTATTAAATATTTGCCATAAAATACGTTCATCTGCAATTCAATTTTCCAATCACTTTGTTTGCAAACGGTCTGTTTACGGTGAATTCGGCTTAAGTAAATTTGAATTTATCCTCGAAACAAACAAGTGTGGGATTTGAAAGCCTTCGCAGCAATCGGCCGGAATTAATAAGAAAACTGAAAAAATTCGGTGCTTATTAGGGTCACTTCAGGTTAATAATGAGAGACTTTGGAGTTTGGAACTGAAACTTTGGAAACTCTGTGTGAGAAAATCGGCAAATACCCGCTTAATCGTATCAATAATGTAGAACCAGGAGAAAATCGGATTTCCGTTCAAAAACCCATGCAGTTTATAACTCTAAAGTTTTACGTTCTGCAGAAAGAGACTCGGTCTTTTACGACCCGAACGCGGTGCCTTTAGACAACGTCATTTCATAGAAACGTTTTTAAATCATCTTAAGTAAGTTTTATTTTTTCTTCGAAAAAAAGGATCGGTTTTATGGCCCTTGAACAGTTGCAGAACGTTGGCGCACTGTTTGGCGAAGTAAACACATTTTCCATTTTTATATTTTCCCTCTCATGGCTCTTGACCTAGTAACCCACTCGAAATATCCGGGAAATGTATTTTGACGTGAAGTAATGCTTTTGTTTATTTCGAGTATGTGCAAAAGTCCAATTAAAGCTGAAACTTTAAGGAAAAATGGTTTAGAACGCTCCAATAAGCTCAAAAAAAGACATAAAATTATAGCTCGTATTATCCGGTATTGAGCTCGATTTTTTAACTGCCAATTAACTGCCTCTTCTATTCTGCAATTTGAAACTGGGACTTGTGCTGGATTAGAAAATATTAATTTTTACAGTGGATGCTGCAACTGAGGAGAAACGCTTATTTTGACATCATCATTTATAAAGTGCGCGCAAAAATCAAACTTTCGTGCAATTCGAGTGAAACTACCAAAATGTGCAAACTCAAATGCTTTGTTTGCATGGTGAAAATTTGAAAAGGGAATTTGCCCTGAATTAGAAATTATGAATTTTTAAAGTGGATGCTGCAACTGAGGAGAAACGCTCATTTTGACATCAGCATTTACAAAGTGTGGCGCAAAAATCAAAATTGAGTGCAATTCGAGTGAAACTGCCAAAATGTGCAGACTCAAGTGCTTTCTTTGCATGGTGAAAAGTTGAAAGGGGAATTTTCCCTGCATTAGAAATTATGTTTTTAAAATGGATGCTGCAACTGAGCAGAAACGCTCATTTTTACATCAGCATTTACAAAGTGTGGCGCAAAAATCTAAATTTAGTGCAATTCGAGTGAAACTATCAAAATGTGCAGACTCAAATGCCTTCTTTCCATGGTGAAAATTTGAAAAGGGAATTTGCCCTGGATTAGAAATTATGAATTTTTAAAGTGGATCATGCAACTTAGGTCAAACGCTCATTTTTACATGAGCATTTACCAAGTGCGCGCAAAAATCAAGCTTAAGTGCAATTCGAGTGAAACTATCAAAATGTGCAGACTCAAATGCCTTCTTTCCATGGTGAAAATTTGAAAAGGGAATTTGCCCTGGATTAGAAATTATGAATTTTTTAAGTGAATGCTGCAACTGAGCAGAAACGCTCATTTTTACATCAGCATTTACCAAGTGCACGCAAAAATCAAAATTGAGTGCAATTCGAGTGAAACTATCAAAATGTGCAGACTCAAATGCTTTCTTTGCATGGTGAAAATTTGAAAATAAAATTTGCCCTGGATTAGAAATTATGAATTTTTAAAGTGAATGCTGCAACTGAGCAGAAACGCTCATTTTTACATCAGCATTTACCAAGTGCGCGCAAAAATCAAAATTGAGTGCAATTCGAGTGAAACTATCAAAATGTGCAGACTCAAATGCCTTCTTTGCAATTTTTAAAGTGGATGCTGCAACTGGGGAGACACGCTAATTTTTACATCAGCATTTACAAATTGTGCGCAAAAATCAAAATTCGAGTGAAACTACCAAAATGTGCTTGTCCAAACTTAAGTCCCTTCTATGGATGGTGGAAATTTGAAGTGTAAACTTGCGTTGAATTACAACTCATGATTTTGTAAAGTGGAGGTTGTGGTTAAGAAAAAACTCTCATTTTTATGCATTTTAATGGAACTTGGCCTGAATTAGAAATTACAATTTTTTCATTTTTAAGACTCATAAGTGGACCGAAGTTCATATGACTGCGGTGCGCAAGCGCTTCGTTTTCAAAATACCGGATGTAAAAGTTTGTTTTCTAAGTCCCTGAGTCCCACTTATTTCATTCAAATTTGAACCGAAGCTAACTGTCAACTGATTGCTAAATTCTACAGGGTGTTAATTTTTCTTGGGTCATGCTCCTTTTACCACCCCCAATTCTAGGGTGCGCCACTGAAATATGACCACAGAATTGGTTCCAAATTCCCTGATCAATTTAGAAACTTTTTTGACTTTTAAATTTTTTCCTATCAGCCACTGTATTCCAGCTATTTGCAAAACTAACGGAAAAATTATAGATATTATTATATAAATAAGCTATTGTTGAATTTTCTAGTGAAACAACACCCACTTTGCTAAACACAAATCAAACCTAATAAAAATCCACATTTCTCCATTCGAAATTATCAACAAGTTTCGTTTGAAATTCCGTCCCTTTCCTAATTAAGCTAAACCATCAATCATCCACAGTTAACAACTCGGGGGCCGTTTTTGCTTTTCAGGTTTTATTCAAACCTGGAAATTGATCACAGTCAGTTGAATCGAAATAATCTCGTTCACGCCCCAATTAATCCAAATCAATTTCTACAATTTAAAAAAATACACACATTTACCAAGAGTTTTCGCAACTAATATGGCTAATATTCCAGGCCAGATGATCTACATGGACAACTGGAAGATGATGATGTACCTGGGAACGCCCGTTATGCCCGACCTGACTTCCCTCATTAATTCCGGCCTGTACATCAACGATCTGTCCATGCACGATTTTAGTCGGTAAGTTCACGAATCTCCTTAACTCTGAACAATTTAAACTGTTTCTACTTTGGCGGTTTCAGCGATCTTATGCTGGCCGGCACTCAACAATCAGTAGAATTAAAGTTAGCCCTCGACCAGGAACAGCAGAAGAGCAAAAAGCTGGAAGAATCGATGAGGAAGCTGGACGAAGAGATGAAGAGAACTGACGAACTGTTGTACCAGATGATACCAAAACAAGTGGCCGATCGGTTGAGAAAAGGCGAAAATCCCATCGATACTTGTGAGGTGAGCAGATGTTTTCACAACCAACCGGTTTCATTTCCATCACAGTTAATTCCAATGTGGAAGAAAATGTTTATTCGCTAAACCCCAATCTCGTTAAAACATCAGCAAACTGGCGATTTAGTAAGCGGGAATTAAAAAACATGGAGTGGGCCATTCGCGTTAATGAGCATCAGTGTTTTGTTTTGCTGCTTTTCCCGTTATTGGTTTGCAATGTTTTTTATCCATGCGATGTAAAATAATTGAAAACATGCTACTGGAAACGGGTGTTGGAAGTTCAGAGCAGAGAATTGCCAATTGGGACAAAATGTTTATGTTGTTTTAAAAAGTACATAAAAAATAGAATTGGAGGCGATGCGAATGAAACTCGCACAGTTTGCAAATGTATGTCCCGTCTATCAATGGTGAAAGTTTCAAGTTGGTACTTGCGCCAGATTCGAAGTTATGATTTTTTTAAGTGGAGGCTGCAGTGGGGAAGAACCTCCCATTTTTACATCAGCATTTACAAAGTGCGGGCAAAAATCAAAAGCTGGTGCGATTCGAATGAAATTCTGAGAATATGCAGACCTAAGTGCCTTCTACCGATGGAGGAAATTTCAAATAAGAAACTGTGCTGGATTGGCAATTATGAATTTTTAAAGTGGAGAACGCAAATGGGTAGAAAATTTCATTTTTACATCAAAATTTACAAAGTGCGCCCAAAAATAAAATTTAAGTGCGCTTGGAATGAAATTCTCAGAATGTGCAGGCTCAAGTGCCGTCTATGGATGGAGGAAGTTTCAAATGGGGACTTGCGCTGGCTTGGAAATTTTGAATTTTTAAAGTGCAGACCGCAATTGGGCAGAAACTCTCATTTTTATATCAGCATTTACAAAGTGCGCCTAAAAATCAAAATTAAGTGCGATGCAGAAGAAATTCTTAGAATATGAAGACTTAAGTGCCTTCTATGGATGGAGTAAACTTCAAATGGGGACTCAGTCTGGATCGACAATTGTAAATTTTTATAGTGAAAGCTGCATTTGCAAAAAAACGCTCATTTTTACATACAAATTTGCAAAGTGCTAAATCAAAGCAAGCAGCAAAAAAGTAAAAATCAAAAATTAGTGCCATTCGAATAAAATTATCAGAATGTAGTGACTTCAGTGTTGGGCAAAAATTGATTTTTATTAAAAAAAAATCACTGTTTTTTTAAATTAACCGTAAAATCATAATTTTTTTATTTTTATTAAATCAATTGATAAATCCGCTTAATTAGCTGTTTTAAAGTGATTGCAATTGTTGCCGAGAAGATTCAAGCTAAGTTGAATCGATTC